TGATTCTCCAATGGCCATAAGTGCTTGTTCATCTCCAGCTTCATCTTCTGAATCCTCATCTGAGCTTCTCCCCAAGCAGCAACCATAGCCTTTGTTGATCCTTTGTTCTTCTTGGGTTGAACCTGTTCCTTCTTCCTGTTTCTTCGTTCAGCCCTTTCTTTCTTCCATTCCATTTCCCACCGAGGACAGTTCTTGATCATGTGGTCAGTCTTACCACAATTGTAGCAGCCCTCGTTGGTTTGTTTTTCAGGGGCCCTTGGTTTGTTGAAGGTTGCACCTCTTGAAGAACCCTTTCCTCTCATTAGGTACTTCTTGAAATCCCTTGTGATCATAGCCATTTCATCATCCTCTAGGTCTGCACCTTCAACTATTCTGAGAGCCAAACTTCTTTCCTTTTTGGGTGCATCCATCTTCATGGTTTTCCTTCTCAGTTCATAGGCAGTGAGATTTCCAATCAGCTCATCCAACTTGAGAGTAGCAATGTTCTTTGATTCCTGAATAGCAGTGATTTTGCTTTCCCATGTTACTGGCAAGACCCTTGTCAAGATCTTCTCAACCTTGTCTTCTTCAAGGATAATTCTTCCAAGAGACTTAAGTTCATTTGTTAGAGTTGTGAACCTTGTGTACATTTCTTGGATGGTTTCTCCTTCCTTCATGGTAAGGTTCTCATATTGAGAATACAATAGTGTTCCTCTTGATCTCTTTACTTGAGGAGTTCCTTCATGGGCCACTTGTAGAGTGTCCCAAATCTCCTCAGCAGTAGTACAACTTTGAATTCTGCTGTACTCGTCTGGACCTAGTCCACACACAAGCCATTTCTTGGCCTTGGCATTCTTTTCCCATTTCTTCAAATCTTCAGCAGTACAGTCAGCTCTCGTCTTTGGCATGTCCACTCCTTCAGCATTCTTCTTTGTAGTGGCCAGGGGACCATTAGTAACAATATCCCAAAGTTCATAGTCTTCTCCTATGATGTGGTCTCTCATCCTGTTCTTCCACCAGGAATAGTACTGGCCATTAAAGAGTGGAGGCCTAGCAGTGGATTGTCCTTTCCAGTTTCCAGGTGGTGCAGTACTCATCTTGATCTGTTCCCAAGGTGTTAGCCTCTTCAAGGATAACCCGTTCTGATACCAATTGATGATTTAAACGTCAATACCACACAAGAGGAGGGGTGATTTGTGTGGTACCCAATTTTCGCTTAACTTGATTATAGAAGGACCTAGTTCTTCTATGTGTTTCAACTACTACTGTCGCGGAATAATAACTACAGAAAATAAAGAACACAGAGATTTTACGTGGAAAACACCTGGCTCAAAAGGTGAAAAAACCACGACCTACCTTCCAGTAGGATTTTCCCAAACTCTCCACTAAAATCACTGAGCCAAAAACTGCATTTACAAGAACTCTTTTGTAAACCTAGGATTAACTCCAATACTGTTGTGGCACACAGCCTCAACTGTTGCGACAACTTCAAGTTAACTCTAACTTGAAAACTCTAAGTACCTAATACAATTGCTTCTAAATAAGTTGAAAGGTACAATGTAAAATCACCTACTACAATTGAACTAGAATAAAAGATAGACTCTTGGAACTGATTCTTCTATCTGGTTCAAGTAGTTTCAGGATTGCACGCTTGAATCACACATAAATTGCTTGCAAAATTGCCTTGTTATTTTGCTCTCAATTCACGTTTAACTTCTGCTTATGTGCATTACCTGTAAAAGAGAACAACACTAATATTTAAGGAGTTAGCAATTACAGATTGACTAGGATACAGACGCTACTCTTTCATGGTGGAAGAGTTCTAGTTGATCTCATACTCTAACTCTATCCTTTTTCTAAACCGTGTTCTCTTTGTGTAAGGAGTCTTTCTCCTTATCCAATATGCAACCTTTTCGATCATGATCAGGAGATAACACTTCTGATATGATAGGTTTATCTTCTTCACGTGCATCTCACATGTTTGAGTTGATCATAATTGTGCTTCACAAGATGGACCTGGTCCATGTCTGAGTTCCTTTTTCAGTCTTCAAAACTTCACCTTTACTTGGGCCAACAGATATAAAATCTTTAAGTTTTTTGAAATAAAATATATTTGGAGACTGCAGAAAAAAGTAAATACTATAAGTTAATCTAATTAATAACTTATAATATTTGAAAGACATATAAAAATATCACGGTCAAAGAAAAATTCATTTGACTCTCGAAATTCAAATCGAATCACATAAATCTGGATAGAAGGAAAATTTAGTTATATCCTAACCAAGTTCAAATTAGTACAGTATTTCATGTCTCATTACCCGGGTCAGTGTATGTCCATGCATGCAGAACCATGATACTACGAAAACCTTAATTAATACCTTGACAAAAGATACAGAAATCGTATTATTCAAAAGCAGTTGTTGATGTACTGACGCGTACGTATTTTCTTCTGCATATTTTGTTTAAAAGATTTTCGGTGAGTATGGTATGGCAAGTTGGCCATATGATTAATGTTGAATTAACGTGCCCCATAAGTAATTAATGAATGAGTCAATATTAACAGTGACAAATAGTCCGCTCTATTCTTTAAAGAAATAATTAAGACCTTTAGCATCAATGTTAACCAATGGCTGCCCCTCATTACAAAATTTATTTGCATGTTGTTAATGTTTACATTTAGTATAGATATTCAGAAGATGTTTTTCTCGATATAGTCCACGTTGAGTTGTTCTTCTTAATCATTTCTATATTTTGTTGTTGCTAATTCTTTTTTTAGACAAGTTGACTTTTTTTCCCTTTCAAATTTGGAGTTGGTAGTTGCTTATTATATTATTAATTTGCAAAACTCCTTAATTACTCCTATCGAATTTTGAGACCATCTCATTTAGATGCTTAAGATATTAGAGAGCACACATTTATTTAGTTAATTATGTCTTCACGATGCCCCTCACATGCAACCCTATTTTTTGTTCATGAGCAAAGCGTGGAAATTCTTTTCCATAATAGGTGATGGTGAGACTCGAATCCAAAACTATGTCTTCTTTGATAACACCCGAAGTGTATGACCATCTCATTTGAAAGCTTAAGTTGTTAGTGATGACATATTTTTATTTATTTTATGTATCAATAACTCCCTCATATAATAGCAGTACTCTAAATAAAACATTCTCGTGAAGTAAATCTTTTGGCCGTATATCCTTGGATAAAATTGGCGACGCCCATGCAAAGAGAAAAATTCAATAAAAAGCGACCGGTATACAAAGAGGTAGTTAGTTAATTACAACGTACAATTTTTTTGCTAAGTCAAAATTGATATTGTTTTAATCTGGTTGTTTCCTAAGTAGTAGGTTTGATTTTAATTATCTTTAAACGAAAGAATCCGACCCACTCAAATTTGCAATAATTGACAATTTCCAAGTCTGAACATTTCGTGCATGAACAACAATTCATTTAAAAACCATCCTCTTTGAAATTGTCAAAGTCTGGCTCATTTTTCTTGGGAGAGTTGCTAAACCTAAAACCATTGTCGTGTTATAATAGTAAACATTTTTCTAACCTATAAATATAGCCACATTTTACTCTCATCATCACACAAAATCAGTAACATCACTTATATAGAAGTGTAGAACTTCATAGACTATAGTTATCAAAAATGGTTTCACGTAGCTTCCTGTTTCTTCATGTGTTCATCATGTTTTCTTTAGCAGTGATAGCATTTTCGGATTTATCAGATGATTTCTATGAGGATGTTTGTCCTGAAGCTTTACCAACAATTAAACGGGTTGTTGAGGATGCAATTCAGAAAGAGAGACGAATGGGTGCTTCTCTGATACGTCTGCATTTTCATGATTGTTTCGTTAATGTAAGCTCATATTTTTCTTCCACTTAATTTTTTCATTTCATCCCAAATTCTATTTGTGAAAGAATCTGAGTAATTAACCTAAATTCTTTAAGTTGGGAATGAAGTCATTGCTTTTGGTTAATGCAGCGTTGTGATGCATTAATGTTTTTCATTTCATCCAAATTTCTAATTGTGAAAGCATATGAGTATTTAAACCCAAAATCTTGAAGTTAGGAATGAAGTCATTGCTTTTGGTTAATGCTTCATGAGATGTTGTTACTAATGCATGTTTTGTTAATTTAGGGTTGTGATGCTTCGATTCTACTTGAACAAACGGCGACTATTGTTAGTGAAAAGACTGCTCGTGCTAATAACAATTTTGCTAGAGGATTTGAGGTGATTGATAAAATTAAGTCTGAGGTTGATAAAGCTTGTGGACGTCCAGTTGTATCTTGTGCGGACATCTTGGCAGTTGCAGCTCGTGACTCTGTAGTTGCTGTGCGTGTATATTACTTCCTTCTAAATCCTAAATATCGATAATAAACCAATTACTAGTATTATATATTAACTTGAGGTCGCTATATGAGCCCATAAACTTTAAATTCTGGATACCTAATGGTGTATGCCGTTAATTAATGTTATGAACCTTCAATATTATTACTATTAATTAAACTGAATTAATATTTGTACGTGAACAGCTACGTGGACCAACATGGGAAGTGAAACTAGGAAGGAGAGACTCCACAACAGCAAGTAGAACCACAGCCAACAATGATATTCCAACTCCATTAATGGACTTACCTGCACTTATCAACAACTTCAAGAATCAAGGTTTGGATGAGGAAGACCTCGTCGCGCTCTCCGGTGGGCATACCCTAGGGTTTGCTCAGTGTTTCACCTTCAGAGATCGCATCTACAATGAGACTAACAACATTAATTCTACCTTTGCAAGTCAACGTCAAGCAAATTGTCCACGTAGTGGAGGTGATTCTAACCTTGCTTCCCTTGATCCTACAGCTGCTCTTTTCGACTCTAAATATTTTAGTAACTTGGTATCGAAGAAAGGACTTTTACATTCTGATCAAGCATTGTTTAGTGGAGGAGAAACTGATGATCTTGTTAAGACATACAGTACCAACCTTGGAACTTTCTCTAAAGATTTTGCTGAGTCTATGATTATGATGGGAACTATCAAGCCATTGACTGGAAACCAAGGTCAAATTCGTGTCAACTGCAGGAAGGTGAACTAAATATTGCTAATGATGCTGATAAAATCAAGATTCATGCGTGTGTTAAGAATTTGGTTAATTATTTTCAATTGTAATTGTGCTTTTTCTTCATTTAATTTGGATCCTTTGTTGTTACCTAAAATAAGTGAGTAACTGTGAACAGAGAGGTGTGGTCATTTGTTTCTCAAGGAAATTGGATTATGTAGTTTTCAGTTGGCGAGTAAATCCCAATATGGTTGTCAAGTGAATGAGAAACCCCTTTGATTTTGAGTAATTTGATTTCCCTCAGAGCTTTTTTTTTTTTTTTAATTTATCCTCAGAGCTGTTTGCCTAATTGATTACAGTAATTGTATAAATCGTCCTAACGTACATACCAGAAAACAACTTTAACATTACTCCATTCAGTTTATTTGAACCTATTTCCTTTTTAGTCCGTTCTAAAAAGAATGACCCCTTTCTAAATTTGGTAACAATTTAGCTTAAACTTACAATTGTAATGAGAAGCTTTTATAAATACACAAATAATCTGGGCCCCTTTTTGACTTGTTTAGGACCACAAATTTCAAAAGTATTCATTTTTTCTTAAACTCCATGCCCAGTCAAACAGGTTGACATAAATTGGAACGGAGGGATTATTATTTAGTTTTCTGTATTATTTAGTTTTCTTAACTTCCTTCGTATATTCGAACTAGTGGTAGCAAATGGACGATCTAGACTCTAGATTGATGGGTTTTCAATGTCTTTGCCTTATGTTTTGATGATCTAACAAACTTACTGTCAAGAACCAGATAGGGAACCTGACACACTTGGTACACATTGCTAATGAACGGATTCCAGTCAGAACTCCAGCTAATGTGAACTGCTGCAAGTGTAGAAAATAAAGAAACAAGACAGGGACCTGATCCATTGTGTTTCCCTGACTGCAGTACGAAAGTTAACTGTGCACAACTGGAAAGTGACTGCCACCGAAACAGTGCACACAGTGCAGCAGTTTTGCAGTCACTTGTCCTTTGACCAACCAAGCTTACATCATTCAAGTGATGTCATCAAAGGTGTATTAACAAGAGTATTACAATAAAACATCACTTGAACACTAGAATTCACTTCAAGCATTCAAGCCTTCTGAGACAGTGAACTTAATTCTCAAGAGCCTCAAGAACAAAGTCCAGTTCCTAAATCTAGTATTTTGTTGTCCTTAGTTGAGTTGTAACTTTGTAATTGTTCTTCATTGTAATTCCTAAATTGCTTAGCTAGAAGCGTTACTTAGGAACCCCTTTGTAAAACCATAAACCCTTTGTGTTTGTGTCGTGACTAGAGTTAGTCATGAGTTGAAGTTTTTGTAATAGGTGTATTGTAAAGTGGCTTGTAATAGGTGTATTACGAGTTAGTGAGGGATTAAGAGTTTAATTTCTAGATTGCATAGGTTGTAATCTAAAAGTTGCTCATAGTGAAGTTGAAATCCTACCAGTGTAGGTCGTGATTTTTTATCCCCTTGAGTAGGATTTTTCCACGTAAAACTCCCTGTCTTATTTACTTACTGCTTTATTAGTATTCTCAGTGGAAACTCATAGAGGGACTGGTACTCTATAGTTTGGTGGACTCATATAAACTATCTATTGGTATCAGAGCAGGTTTCTCCTATCAGGCTAACACATAGGAAGGATCCGTATGGCTGCTCCACCAAATTTTGAAGAAGGTCAATCTACGTACAGACCACCCAGGTTCAATGGGCAATACTATGGGTGGTGGAAGACAAGAATGCATGATTTTATCATGGCTGAAGATTCTGGGTTGTGGGATGTCATATGTGATGATCCTTACATCCCAACAAAGGCAGTTGGAGACCTTCCATCGACATTGCTAAAAACTAGAAAAGAATACATGACGCAGACAGGAAAGTTGTGGAGAAAAAATTTCGTGCCAAGAAAATTTTGATGTATGGAATAGGACTTGATGAATACAATAAAATCTCTGCTCGTGAAACTGCCAAGGAGATATGGGAAGCTCTGCAAACAGCACATGATGGAACCACTCAAGTAAAGCAATCTAAGATTGATAAGCTCACTACCAAGTATGAACTCTTTAGGATGAAGGAAAATGAATCTATTCAAGACATGCACGCAAGATTCACCTCTATCATAAATGAGTTACACTCACTTGGTGAAATTATTCCTAGGAACAAGCTAGTGAGGAAGATTCGTAGTATTCTGCCCAGTTCTTGGGAAAGCAAGGTAAGTGCTATTACTGAAGCAAAGAACCTGCAGGAGCTGACCATAGATGAGCTGGTTGGAAATCTGAAGACCTACGAGATAAAAAGGAAGATAGACAGTGAAAGAACATAACCAAAGAAAGAAAAGAACCTGGTACTCAAAGCTGAAAGCGATGACTCGAGTGAGGAGGACAGTGACATGGCTTACTTAACTAAAAGGTTTCAGAAGATGGTCAGAAGAAATGGAGGAATATTGAAAAGGGGCAATTCCAGCCAACCAAAGAACTATGATCTCTGCCACAAGTGTGGGAAGCCAGGGCACTTCATCAAAGATTGTCCTCTCTTGAAGCGAGAACACTCCAAGTACAACCCTGAGAAAGCAGCCAAGAGGAACCCGATTCATGACAAGAACTTCAAAAGGAAGAGATCTGCTGACAGTGTGGTGAAACAGGCTCTTGCATCGTGGGGAGACTCCTCTAGTGAGTCTAAAGATGAAACTGATGCAGGTGACAACTCCATGATGGCAGTTGAAAGTGAGGAAAATGAATATGATTCAATATTTGCTTTGATGGACCAATCGGATGATGATGAAGACGATGACAATAGTGAGGTAAATTTCAGGGATGTTCAGAGAAATATGAAATACTACTCTCCTATGAAACTCATGTCTTTAGCTAGTGTATTGATTGATGCCTATCATAGTCTCGTGGAGGATAAAGATGCCTTGACCTTAGATCTAGGAGAAGATGAACAAACTAGAGATGATCTGGTGGTGTGTGTAGTTGATCTGAAGGAAACCATTAGTGAGTTGGTGAAAGAAAAATTTGTTTTAACCGAAAAAATTGGTAACATAGAACATGAAAGAGATGACTTAGCGGTTGTAGTTGTTGACTATAAGGAAACCATCGAGAACTTTAGTAAAGAAAAAGAGGCCTTAGTGAAGAGAGTGACTGAGAATGAGGAAGAAAGAGATGATCTCTTGGTAGTGATTGCAGACCTGAGGGATACAATAGAGGGACTAGGAACTAAGTCTAAACCTGGAAATTCTGGAAAAGGAAAAGAGGTAGCTAGTGAGGCACACATTAGGCTTGAAAACGAGTTGAAGGCTGTGAGAACTAGCCTGTGTGTTGAAACTGAGAAAAATAAGCATCTCCAAACTGAATTGGAAAGAGTAAAAAATGATCTTGAAAAGTCCCTAAAGTGGACCTGGTCCTCAGAAGCTATCACTGCCATGTATGTTAATAATGGTGAAAACAGGAAGGGAATAGGGTTCTAAAGGGAGAAAACCCGTTACAGCCCCCATAACAAGTATGTTACTGTACCGGATAACTGGCTATGTACCCACTATGGGAACAACCTAGGGTCCAGTCTATTAAGAAAAACAAAGTGTTTGCTGAAAATATAACTTCTAAAATGGGACCACGTGCCACCCACAAAAAACGCATATTACCTGCATAGACTAAGAGAGCTCTTATTCATCCTCTTGCCTACTACAAGGGACCCAAACTTGTTTGGGTTCCTAAAACTAACTCTTGATTTCCTTGTGTAGGGAACAGTGAGAGGAAGCAGTCAGCAATGGTTCATGGATAGTGGATGTTCAAAGCACATGACTGGGAACATCATGGACTTCCTTTCACTAAAAGCCCTGCAAGGAGGGAGTGTATCCTTTGGCAATGGGAAAAATGGGTACATTCTTGGAGTTGGAAAAGTCAGAAAATCACTCACTCACTCTATTGAGAATGTGTACTATGTTAATGGTCTCAAGTACAGTCTCTTGAGTGTCTCTCAATCTGTGATAAAGGAAACAAGGTGGAGTTCTTGTCCAAGATATGTACAATTACTAATCTGGTAACTGGTGAAGTCGTACTTGTGGCCAGATACAAGAACATCTATGTTGCTGATTTCGAGTATATAGAAAGTGGTGATTTGAGTTATTTGAAAGCTGTTGATGATGATGTTGAGCTATGGCATAAAATATTGGGGCACGCAAGCTTCTCTCTTCTGAATAAACTAATTCAGAAGGACCAGGTCCGCGGTCTGCATGTCAAAGTTCAAAGTACAGAAAGTGTGTGATGCCTGTGCTAGAGGAAAGCATGTAAAGTCCTCTTTTAAGCCTAAAAAGGATATCAGCACCTCAAAGCCACTCGATATTCTTCATATGGATTTGTTTGGCCCCATGAGAGTGCAAAACAGGGGAGGAAAAAGATACATCTTTGTGATAGTGGATGACTACTCTAGATTCACATGGACTCTATTTCTTAGAACAAAAGATGAAACCTTTGAGGTATTTGTGGCTTTTGTGAAGAAAATCCAGGTGAAGATGGAGTCTAGAGTAGCATGTATCAGATCTTATCAAGGAAAAAAATTTGACAATGCCAAATTTGAGCTCTATAATGAACATGGCATTACCCACAACTTCTCAGCCCCAAGAACTCCCCAGCAAAATGGAGTTGTGGAAAGGAAGAATAGAACTCTTGAAGAAATAGCAAGAACAATGTTGATCGACAGTGGGATTGCAAAGAACTTCTGGGCTGAAGCTGTCAACACTGCCTGCTACTTGTTGAACAGGTGCAGTATCAGATCTCTCCTGAACAAACCCCCCTATGAGTTGCTGAATGGAAGGAAACCCAAGATGACTCACCTAATAACATTTGGGTGCAAATGCTATGTTCTCAACAGTGGAAAGGATCAGCTTGGTAAATTTGATGCCAAGAGTGATGAAGTAATCTTTCTGGGGTATTCTTCTCAAAGCAAAGCTTACAAGATATACAACAAGCGGACTCAATGTGTTGAGGAAAGTGTTCATGTAATCTTTGACGAGTCCTATCCCTCATGTGAGAAAGGTACCAAGGATGATCAAGATGGAGAGCCTTACTGGTTCCAGGTGAAGTCATCGACATAACAAATGAAACGGCAGGACATGATGAGCCAAGTGAA